GTAACCCACCGGCCCCCGCCGCGGTTGCCTTCCAGGACCCCCCCCCCCCCGCCGCCGGTACCCCGATTCTCCGCCGCCGCCGCCCCCCCCGCACCGCCCTCGAACGACGCCGCGGCGTAGCTGTGAGGGCAAGACCGCTGCAGGACGTACTTGTGCACCGGGAACGTGGCCGCGCGTGACGGTGACGAGACCGCAGGCGGTGGCGGCGGCGGCGGCGGCGGCAGCAGCTTCGCCGAAGAGTGATCGCCAACTCCGTCTCCTTCCCGCGGAGCGTCATCGTCGTTGTCGTATGCGGCCGGCCCGCGCGGCAGACGCTGCGGCTGCTGCTGCTGCTGCCGCCGCCGGCGAGCCACCTTCCCCATCCGGGGCACCGTCTCCGGCGTCCCTCACCCCTCTGGCGGACCACTCTATCCTCACCTTGCCGCCCCCGAGGTAGGAGGGCGGGTGCAGCACGGGGAGAGGGGGCTCGTCCCCCAGACCAAGAAGCCTGACTTCGATCGCCTGTTTCGTACCGAAGGAGAAAGGTTTGGCGGCAAAAGGGGGGGGGGCGTGTCGGCGAGCAACAGGAGGAAATGAGCCAAACGGAGGCAGGAGCAGGCAGGGGGCACCCGGACACAGGGCATCCATGCATACAACCTTTCGTGGCGTACCAGGCAGTCCCCGCACTTTGCGAGAGCCAGTCGGTAGGGCGATTATTGATTAATGTAGGCCCCGTACGACACCAGTGCTGCAATAACCTGCTGTGTGTGGGCTGCCACCCCACGTCATCTGGGCGTCAGTTACACGCACGATTCGGTGTGCGTTTGGACGCACCGGCGGGGGGCACACAGACAAGAGATGGCCGCAGGACTACCAGCATGCGTGGCACAGGTATCTAATAAGATGGAACGCCAAACGTTATCATGCTTCCACACCGAAGATTTTCAACGACACCCGGCTTCGAGCCTGGCCGAAGACGACCGCGTTGACACCGGCCGTGCATCGCCACAAATCACGCCCCTCTCTGCGACGCCCTCACACCCAAGCACCATCTACAACGCTGTTCCTTCTTGTGCATGCCCACAACCAGGCAGCCTCAAAACAGCCCCTCCTCTGTCCAACCCCTAGCCCCGCTTGCGGCAACCGACGACGACAATCAACACGTACTGCTGTACCTTCACGATCCGCTTCCTGAACTTCCTCTTGATGCCAAGGTCGTACAGGCCGGCACCGTTGTCCTCCACGAGCTCGGGGAAGTCGTAGGCGGAGATGGAGTTGCTCCGGAAGGCTTCGGCTACTTCTCGGGGGAGTTGGACGGCGTGAGACACCCAGTCCGCCGCCTCCTCGACGGTCAGCATCGGTCCCAGGCGATTAATCCAAGAGCTAAAAAAAACGTAAGTGTATGGGGGGGGGGAGGGGGGTGTAATCATGTCAGCAGCCCTCGCGGGGTTTATCGTTAAAGTAAACATGTTGGAGAAAACATGCAATCGGGGAAGTCGGGTGAGGGATAGGGAATAGGGTCTGCGTACCCCTCCCCGTTCTATGTACTTCCTCATAAACTTATCCTCTCGCGAAGGGTGTCCACTCACGAAACGCAAACCATAGTCGGTCGTTATACCGTAGACCTCGGCGGGGGTGTGGGGGTGTGGGGGTTCATGGGTGTGCCGTGGCGGGGGGCGGTCTAGTCCGCGCCTCCTCGTGATCAGTAAGTACCATTTTGATCTGAGCGCTGCAAATGCACGGCAATGAAGGCCGAACGTAGCTGTGGTGTGTGACTACGTTATCCACACCGGGGTCGTTGCAAAATGGAGGGCGACAACAACAAAAAACAACAACAAACCAGCAACAACATCAACAACAACAAACAACATACGACCGACAACGGCAGCCGGCACCTGAGCTCCTTGAGGCCGATGCCCTTGTCGCTGTCCGTATCGAGACGGCCCATGACCGTAGACACGCCCCCTAAGATCTCCGAGTTATCATCCAAGCTGCTTCCTCCGACGTAACCCACGAACTGCCGCAAACAACACGGCGATGGCAATATCGGTTGGCCATGTGGTTGCACGTGCTCACATCGCTGTGCTGCAGCGCTATTGTGTTTGGCAAAACCTCGAAACCATTGCAAGAACTGTCTCTCGTTCATTCAGCACTTCGTGTGACAAGGACGAGCCCCCCCCCCCCCCCCCCCCCCCCCCGGCTTGGTTGGCCTCCGGGGTTGGGTTTTCCGCCCCTGGGAACCACCTTTTAAAAAAAACCCAATTCCTTTCGGGAACCCGCAAACAGGGTAACCGGGTTTTTACCTCCAATTTTTTTTTGGGGGGAACCCTTATGGGGGGCCAATAAAACATGGTTTGCTGGGGGGAAAAACCTCCCCCCCCCCCAAGGGGAAGAACCCCCCCCGTTTTGTTAAAATG